TGGCAGCATCTTTGAAGAGAAATCAGAGTTAACATTTCGGGTCCGGTAACCCTTCCTCAGATGGATAACCTTACTTGGCCTCATAATCACCAATCTGTCTGCTGCAGATGCACCTTTTCAGTATCAGTAGGTATGAGTATCAGAGAATCCTTATGAGACGAAGTCCCATCCTTACAATAACGATATTCTCCATCGTACTGAGAGGCACTAGCACGGTGCTAAATGGGACAGATTTCAAACAGATCGAGCAACTCAAGAATGTGCATCCATGAGGCATGGTGAATCATTGGCAGAATTTCTTCCAACCATAATCCGTAACCTCAGGGCTAACTTCCAGCATGTCTCCCTCTTTGCCTTATTACCAAGTCAGGGGATCAATCAGGGCTCAATGAAAAATGCTGGATGACATGCCAAAAGCAGCAACAGGCACTCTTAACACTGAGGTATCAAGCTGGTGAAGCTCCCAAACAGGATGATTTGCATGCCAAACAGCATAAGCAGCAAGTGATAGACAGAGGTAAGTGATCCCATAACCAATGGATCAGATTTAAGCTCTGCAGTTCTGCCACGTTTCGTTGTGAGTGGCGGTGGACAATTAAACATCTCTTTGGAGGAGCAGGCTCCAAAAATGTCTCCATCCTCTGTGATGGGGGGCTCAGAAAATCAGAATAAATATAGAATGAAGTATTGTTGCCCATCTTCATTCAGAAATGCTGAGTGGATATTCCATCTTGGCCTCCTCCTTAGGTCTACAGATTCACAAATACCAGGCTTCAGCCAATTTGATTCTACCCAACACTGGGTACTGAGTACAAAGTCTGTGGATCTTGATAACATTCCAATATGTATGTTCCAGAACCAGCGGTACCTCTAGCCAAACTGTTCCAGGTCAGCTACAACACTGGCATCTATCTGACAATTTAGAGCATTGTCCAAGTTTGTCCTGACCACAAAGAACAGGCCAAGTGCAGCTGATTACTGTTGCCTCAGTTTCAACAGTTTATCAAGGGGCACATATTTAACAATGAACTGCTCATTGATGACCAGTTTGTTTTTCACCAGTGCGATCCAGCTCATCACCTCATTACAGCCTTAATCCAAACGTAGACAAAAGAGTTGAACTCCAGAGAGAAGGTGAGAGTGACTGCCTTTGATATCAAGGTCATGTTTAATTGATTGATAATGTTAACAATGAGCTCCAGCAGAACTGACTTGAGAATTGGTGACAGCACTAATGAACATATGCAGAAGGAACTGAACAACATCCAAATTTGGGTTGATAAGAGGCAAGTGACATTCACACCACACAAGTATCAGGCAATGACTGTCTCTAGCAAACAAGAATCCAGCTATTGTCCTTTGTCATTCAATGGCATTGCCATCACTGAATCTCCGACTGTCACATCCTGGGGGATTACCATTGACCAGAAGCTAAATTGGAGCAACAAAATGCAAACATTACCAAGTTTGCTGATGACACAAAACTGGACAACATAATGAATTATGAGGAGGACGCAAGGAGCCTTCAAGGTGATTTAGACAAGTTGATTGAGTGGGCAAAACGGCAGATGCAGTACAATATGATTAAATGTGGAGTTATACATTTTGGTGTGAAAAGCATGATCACTTTCTCAAGGGAAATTAGAGATTGGTAATAAATGCTGGCCCAGCCAGTGATGCCCATATCCCATGGATGAATGTAAAAAAAATTAAACTGCAGTCAGTGTTATTTCAGGGTTAGTGCTGGTGTGATAGGTATACAAACTGTGTGGCTGATGCCCTCTAAGTTAAAGGTCCTATTTGATCTTGATTTATCTGATTTTAGATGGTTGAATAATAAGAGTCATAGATTTCAGTGTCCCTCAACTAGGAGGATGAAATCTCAATCTCTGCTGATTGCTATGGCATGTCCTCATTGGAAAGTAGATACTGGATGGCTGCTGATGTCTTAAAATCTGTACTTAAAGAGAAAGCCATTCATATACAGAATTATTAACTGGGTAATAATCCCCAAACTGCAGTTTATATTCCCAAATATTTTCATTAAGGTAGATTGCTTCCCCTACCATTCTCACTATTTTGCATCTTTCCAAATATCTTATTTACCAGTGCATTGTCGTTGCTCATCATTATCCTGCTCAATGTGACTCTTTTGTCCACATCCCTCGCACAGAAACAGGCTTTCAGCTCCTTATCCTATGTACCCCCAGCTGGGTCTTTGTGCCTGCTATGTTATTGGTCTCCTTCGTCAGCTTCTCTACAATCGGCAATACTTAAGAGCATCATCCTCTCGAAATTCTCCAGAAAACTTGAAAGATCAAGTGCCTATGCACAAATACGTCAGTGCTCCTTTTAACTCCACTACTTGACAGACACTTGATTTTTGGAACTGTAGAGTTCACCTGATCTTCATTGAATTTGTGAGAGGATAATCAAATGCCATGGAACATGTTTATTTAAAAGAGTTCGGGTGTTGCAAAGACAGGAACCCAGCTATTTTTCAGTATCAGAAAAGAAACCTTCATTTTCTCCCAATAGTTTTGTCACATTTTCTGAAGGAATATGAACATTGGAATAAGGACCATGCATAGGCTACTTGGCCCTTTGAGGCTACTCCACCTTTCAATAAGATTGTGGTTGATCTGATTTTAACCTCAACTCTACATTCCTGCATATCCCTGACAATCTTCCATTCCCCTGGTCGTCAAGAACTTATCAACCTCTGACTTAAAAATATTTAAAGATTCTGCATCCACTGCCTTTTGGGGAAGGGAATTCTAAAGATTCACAGCCCTCTGAGGGCAAAAAAAAGGTCCCCTTATTTCTTCCAGAGGTGAAGTGAGAGTGACATCAAAGCTGTGTTTGACCAAGTGTGGCATCAAGAAACTGTAGCAAAACTGGAGTCAATAGGAATCTTGTGGTAGCTCTCTGCTGGTTGGAGTCATAGCTGGCACACAGGAAGATGGTTGTGCTTGTTGGAGGATAGTTATCACAGTTCCAGGACATCTCTGCAGGAGTTCCTCAGGGTAGCGTACCAGACTTGACTACCTTCAGCTGCTTCATCTATGACCTTATCTCCATCATAAGGTCAGAAGTGGGGATGTTCACCGATGATTGCACAATTTTCAGAACCATTGTAACTCCTCGGATACTGAAGCAGTCCATGTACAAATGCAGCAAGCATATCCAGTATCCAGGCTTCTGCTGAACAGTGACAAGTGGCACTAATACCACACTAATGCCAGGTAATTGCCATTTCCACCAAGAGAGAATCTAACCATCATCCTTTACATTAAGTGGTGTTACCATCACTGAACATTACCCCCACTACTATCCTGGGATTTATTGTTGACCAGACACTGAACTGGACTCACCATGTAAAGACAGTGGCTACAAGTGCAGGCTGGAAGTCTTGCAGTAGGTAATTCATTCCTGCAATGCCTATCCACCATATTTTGTTTTTATTTATTCCTTGGATTTTATTGCCCATCCATTATGGGAAGGCAATGGCCCAGTGGTATTATTGCTGGACTGTTAATCCAGAGACCCAGATAATGTTCAGGGGACGTGGATTCGAATCCTGCCACAGCAGATGGTGAAATTTGAATTCAATAAATATCCGGAATTAAGAATCTAATGAAGACCATGAATCCATTGTCGATTCTTGGAAAAACTCATCTGGTTCACTAACGTCCTTTAGGGAAGGAAACTGCCATCCTTACATGGTCTGGCCTACATGTGACTCCAGACCCACAACAATGTGGTTGACTCTTAACTGCCCTCTGGGCAATTAGGGATGGGCAATAAATGCTGCCTAGCCAGTGACACCCTCATCCCGTGAATGAATTAAAAAAAAAGCCCAGAGCGTAGTTAAGAGTCAACCACATCTGGAGTCACATGTAAAGATGGCAGTTACCCACCCTAAAGGACATTAGTAAAACTAGATGGGTTTTCCAAAAATCGACAATGTTCATCATTAGATTCTTAATTCCAGATTTTTTAATTGAATTCCACTTCCACTATCTGCCACGGTGGGATTTGAACCCAGGTCCCCAGAACATTATTTGTGTCCCTGGATTAACAGTCCAGCAATAATAGCATTAAGCTGTTACCTCCACATCTACGAGGCATCAGTCAAGACTGTGATGGAAGACTCCTCATTTGCTTGAATGAGTGCAGCTCCAACAACACTCAAGAAGCTTGAAACCATCCAGGTCAAAGTAGTCTGCTTGATTGGCGCCACATCCACATACAACCACTCCTTCTATCACTGTCACTTAGTAGCAGTGGTACATATCATCTGCAAGATGCACTGCAGATATTCACCAAAGATTCCTAGATAGCATCTTGCAAACCCACGATTATTTCCATCTAGAAGGATGAGGACAGCAGATATATGGGTATGCCAGCACCTGCAAGTTCCAACAATAGAGAATCGAACCATTGCCTTGATATTCAATAGTGTTACCATCACTGAACACTGCCCCCATGACTGTCAACATCCTGGGGTTATCGTTGGCCAGAAACTGAACTGGACTCACCGTTTAAATACAGTGGCTATAAGGATGAGGGCAGCAGATACATGTGAACCCTACCAACTGCAACTTCCCCTCCAAACCACTCACCATCCTGACTTGGAAATATAAAGTCATTCCTTCAGTGTCATTGGGTCAAAATCCTGAAACTCCCTCTCTACTGGTATTGTGAATATACACATGTCACATTTACTGCAGCAGTTCAAGAAGGCAGCTCTCTACCATCTTCTCAAGGGCAATTAGGCATGTGCAATGGGCTCTGCATGGTAACGATTTCCTCCTGTCTGCCATGCCTAAGGAAAATGTCAGGAACTATGCAGGTCAAATCCAGACTGATAGTTCTTGTCTGGAAAAGATGGTGTGGCCACAAGTGACATATGGGATATCTGCTGAGTGGTGAGCTTTTCTAGGAGTGGCACATGGTAAGATGGGGCTGGAATTGGACATGACAAGCACCTTAGAGGCATGGTAGGTCGTAATGAGGCAAGTTCAGTCAGATACAATGAGAAAGCTTGCAGCGGAGGTAACTTGAATTTAGCCAAAAGAAATGTAAGATTCAGCCCCAGTGCTCACACCAAGCAATTGCAAATAGTTTGACAAGACTGCTGATCTACTCTTGTCCATTTCCAGGTTTGGCTAATTTGAGTAACCTGGGTTCAAGTTTATCTTTTCACAGGCAATGGCCAATGGGATTCGGTATTCACCCAGTAGGATTGGCCGATGCTGTCAATGCAACTGGTATTTCAAGTCATCAGACTTTGACATATTGAGATCTCTCTGTCCTTCTGCTGAAGACTTCATGTGGACAACCTACCCCACTTGGCATCAGTAACTCAGAGTAATACCAATACCAATGGCTGGTGACAGTAAATCTACCCAAGGAATCTCAAATGGTTCCCGCGAATAGGTCCACAACACATCCATGCAGATTGAAATTTTGCCACATAAACCAATCACTGAGCCAAGGCTGACAGTGATATTCACATTTCACCTTTCACTTCATCAGAATTTCTCAGGTTCCTTCATAACTGAAAGTGTAGTCATGACATTTCTCCACATCCTGCAGCCTCTGAGTGAAATTGTTCATTTATTTCCAATTTGTCTTTGTGCTGTGGCCACATTCTTATTAGAAAGGGGATTCAGGCTGTCAACACCATTTTGATATTAAATGCTAACAGAAAGAAACTGAGGAGAGTGTTATCCCATCAATCCATGCCAGAATTGACTGCTGCAGTAGGGATGCTATTGTGAGACTAGGGAACATTAGAATTGGGTTTACTTAGCCTTACGTTAAACTATATATGACCTCAGAATGCTCTGCCTAACTACAACATATCTGACTACTGCTGTTCACTGCACAAAGTTTAGGAAGATTAACTGACTGCACTGAGTATGCACCACATCAGCTCGGTTAAGAATTCATAGCTTTTTAAAAGGATTTTGAAGTGGGGAGTTTTTTTTCTAGATTAGTGACCATTTAGGAGACTCTACACAATCTACTTAAGTATTCTTTAGTTTTAAATCACTGAATCTGCGTCAGACAGCTCTTGAGTTTCAGAATGAGATGATGGGTCATCAAACATGTCTCATGTTTGGCTTGACAGACTTACTAACTTTATAAAAATGGAAAGGGTAGATAGATTGGCTGCCTGCTTCACAGGACAAGCAAGAAAAGCAATGGGGCGATTAGGAACCATCATATCTGCCTTCCACTGCATCTGCATTGCAGCAGGTGTCATTTCTGGTAAGGCATTCAATACTTTCGGATGCAGAGGAGAAATAGTGGAAGGTTTTTGGTAGTCACTGAGATTAAGGTTCCCTGATTGTTCACTGGTTAATTTAACTTTCATGTTTAGTACAATGTCATTGATTCAACTTTGATTGGGTTTGACTTAGATATTTTCAGATTTGACTTATCTTGGCTGGGACAGAACTGCAGTACCACAGATAGTCTTTGTAACCTTGAGCTAAGAGGTGGAAAGTTAGCCAGAGAGAGAGAGTGAGAGCATTTGAATAATACTCACATATGCATTTTGGTTGAAGCAACATCAGAGCCACCCGTGATGAACACTTCCACATGTAAGAAACCCATAACCACATGAAGGATCTTTTCTAATGACTGCCTTCCACATTGACACTCATACAAATTTCTGCTGTGTCCATCCTACAGTTCCTATTCTTTCCTCTCCCGCCCTCAAAATGCATATCCTGATTTCATTTCTCTCCATGCCATTACCTGTTGGATTTGTAGCTAAGTTGTTAACATTCTTGTAGCTGAATAATGAAAGTTTTGTGAGTTCATGTCCTAATTCAGGTCTTTACCACAAAATTCTAGGCTAGCCTTCTCGTGTGCAGTATTGCATGAGTGCTGCATTGTCAGGCTGCAGGATTTTGGATAAGATATTAGACCAAAGTCTCGTCTGTGCCATCAGGTGCATGCAAAAGATCGTTTGGCTTAATTTTGAAAGAGGACAGGAGAGCTATCCTCAGTGTCATTCCCAGTATTCATCCCTTATAGCAAAAAGTGCATCATCTGCTCATTACCAAATTGCTATTTGTGGGATTTGCTGATTGTAAATTGCCTGCCAGATTTCCGACATTACAGCAGTCACTACACTTCACAAGCCCTTCATTGCCTGTAAAACACTCTGGGATGCCCTGTGGTTCCGTAATGTACTATTTATTATATAAGCTAGACCCTTTTTTTAAAGCAAACATCTCCTGCCTTAGTTTGAATTCACTTGCCTCTTCTCTAATGCAGGATCTCTCTTCTGTTCTAGCTCCAGCTGTTCGTGTAACACTAATTCTTTTCAATCTACCTACTTCAGCTTTTTCCCAATGATACATAACACCCAGTTCTCTCTGGCTAACTAATACCTCCATGTTTTCAAAACTGTCCCCTTCAACGTTTTCTGCAATACACCATGAAGCTCCCTCATGACAATGTCTGTCATGTCCCTTTCCATTTTATCTAATAGCTCTGAACCATTCTTACCTAAGCTAGAAGATTATTTACAAATGTATTTTCCTGCTGTTGTTGACTGGCCTAAAGAACCTCCACAGAATAAATGGCAGCAAATCTACACTCAAGAAGGCAAATGATATGCTAGCCATCATTGCAAGAGGATTCGACCACAGGAGCAGGGATGTACAGGTCCTCGGTGAGGCCACGCTTAGAGTATTGTGTGTTGTTTTGGTCCCTTAGGTGAAGAAGGATCCTCTGGCTGTGGAGGAGTACAAAAAAGTTTTATCAGATCGATCCTGGGATAGCAGGGGGGATGTATGAAGACAGACTGATTGTTTAGGATGATATTCAGTGTAGTTTGGAAGAGTGAGGGGGGCTGTCATAGAAACTATCAAATTCTAACAGGAATTGACAGGGTAAATGAAGGAAGGATGTTCCTGATGACTGAAATCAAACATAGTCTAAGGATACAAGGTAGGACATTTAGGATTGAGATGAGGAGAATTTCTTCATTCAGAAAGTGTGGAGCCTGTGGAATTCTCTGCCACAGAAAGCAGTCGAGGCTAAAATATTGAATGTTTTCAAGAAGGAGTTAGATATAGGGTTCAGGGGGTATGGGAAAAAAGTAGGAACAGGGTACTGGGTTGGATGATCAGCCATAATCATAGTGAGTGGTGGAACAGGCTTGAAGAGTCAAATGGCCTACTCCTGCTCTTATTGTCTATGTTCCTGTGCTTCTATGCTGTCACCCTGAAATATCGACAGAGTCATTAAAAACCAACCTTAACAATAAGGTCGCAAAGATGGAATCTGAGGTATGTAAGTGAATACATTTCTATATTAGAAATGAGTCTGGTAGTATTATGATACTAAACCAGCGAATCAGAGCATGTAGACTCAAATACTGACATCATAGTGTGTAAGTGCATAATCAATTTAGATATTAATAAAAGGGAGCATGAAACTGTTGGATATTTGGTAAAGAAATTCAGCTGGTTCGCTAAAGCCCTTTTGAAGAGGAAACTAATTATCCTTACTTCATCTGGCCAAACTAGGAGTCCTAAGTGTTTTATCAAAGTGGTTGATGCTTAATTATTCTCCAATGTGACCTAGAATGTAACTGAAATCTAACAGTCATTCAGAACTAAGTGTTTTGTCTGTGATTGGAGTGGTATACTGATAAACAAGTCCTTTTACTTTATCAGCCACACTGCTAGCATAGATTTGTTGATTTAATCCTGAAAATGGCCAATTGATTCTCTTTTGAATGACCATTTGGAAGAAAAGAGGTTTTCACCATACTACTTTAGTGAACGTAGAGTAATCTGTTCATTATACCACAAAACTTATTACCTAAAACAGATGGCAAACATTGGTTAACACATAAACAATACCTTCAATAAAATCCCTGTTATCCCAGTCCAAGCATCTGGCTCTGTAGCTCAGTGGTTAGCACTGTTGTCTCATAGTGTCAGGAACCTGGGTTCAATTCCACCCTTGGGTGACTGACTGTGTGAAGTTTGTATGTTCTCCTTGTGTCTACAGGAATTTCCTCTGTGTGCTCTGGTTTCCTCCCACAATCCAAAGATGTGCAGGTTAAGTGGATTGGCCATGCTAAATTGCCAGTAATGTGCAGGCTTAAGTGGATTAGCCATGAGGAAATACAGGATTATAGGGTAAGGGGATGAGTCTGGTTGGGATGCTCTTTGGAGGGTCAGTATGGGCTCAATGGGCCAAATGGCTTGCTTCCACACTGTAGGGATTCTAAAAATGGATTATTTACTGGTATTAGCTATTGGATCAGGCATTTTATTAAAGATAATTCAAGTCTTACTCTTTGGATAAAGATGGAATCACTATCACTGTATTTATGAGTGGGTCTGGTCCCCGCTTTTTAAAGTGCACATTTATCTTGTGATAGTGAGGAGTTGAGTTCTTGAAGCAGCCATTAGTATTTCTTACTGAACTGGCATGTTTAGCTAAATGGAACCCCGCAGCCCGTCCCCCAAATCCCTATCTGGGCAGGATACATGGGAGATTACTGTAACTAGAACCATATCCTCTTAATCCCAAACACAGTCACACTCACACACTACAAAAGATGAACATTTCTGCGGAGAGGATGTTTGCTTTGAAAAGGACAAAATAATAAAACACTCCTTTTGGCAAGAGTCTGAAAATAAATGATAATATTTGGTGACTTCTCTCAGCCCAGTGCGTTTCTTGTCAACAAAATCAAGTTGCTGACAGCTGCAAACTGATGCAAGATCTTCAACTCCGATTGAAATCAGGCTCAATCGGAATCTTTGGAAATTGTCCAAGTTCAGCTTTTCAAAGTTTAGAAGAAATATTGATGCTTGGAAACTATCAGGTCCCCAGAAACTCCTGCTAAGATAAGGAGAGGGAGAGACTGTCATCTCCTGGGAGTTTTCTTCCATACAACTACTTATAAAAATAAAAAACTAAGTCCAGAAAGGGTTGCTAGGCAAGTATAAGCATTGAGTCACCACGCCTCCTGGAGACAGCATTTTCAAAGCCAGATTTACAAAACAATTAACAATCATGAATCCAATCTCTTAGCTCCCTAAAATCTTTGCTTGTCTTGACTGTATTTAAATGCTATGCATTAAAATTTTGATTTCATGTCTGAGAAACCACATAGTATAAAATGCTTTTCAATTCAGAAAGTTTCCAAATACTTCCAGTTTTTTGCATAATTCATAAATATAAATGTATATTCCCAACAAAAGTCCTAGTTAGATCTTCTAAAGATTGGCAATTAATCATGGTCTTGCTAGTGAAGGTCTCATCCCAAGAATGAATAATTTAAAAACATATATAGATAAGTACCATATGTTAGCATTTATTCTGTATAATGCCTGTCATTGGCAATTTATTGCCAGGATTAGTTCAATAGGAATCGGCATGTATCTGCAATGTCCTGATAGTAGGCTGCTCCTTTACTTTTGAGTTGATTCTTAAATGTGCTACACTTTAGAGTACAAACAGGAATCCCAGCATCTGACCTCCTGTGAACTGAAGAGAGCAGCCTCCCAGACAATTGACAACTACATTCCCCAGTGTACTCCAGAGGGCAAGTACAGGTAGGAGAACCCATTGATTTTATTTGGTTTATTTCTAACATATGAACTTGTGTGGGAAGAGACATTGGAATTGGAATTTGCATACATGGGTTGATTGTGTTGAAACCCTGTCTCTTCTCAGAACTGAAGTTTGGCAGGGTATAGAGGGCAAATGTGGTGTAGTGGTAGTGTCCCTATCTCTGAGCCAGGAAGCCTAGGTTCAAGTCCACAGGTGTGCCAGAGCACTTTTGATCATGTTGACTAGAAGACTTAAAGGGTTGAAGAAGTATCACTGGTTAATTTTTATATGAATCTTTTAGGATTAAAATGATAGCAAAGGAGCAAGTAGGAGCAATTAAAGTCAGCTTTGGCTATAACTTGAGTTTACTTCTGGTGTTTACAGTAGATAAAAAGATACTGTAGAACAGATACAAGGAAGATGTTAATGAACCTCATAGTCAGGTGGGAATATGTGAAAATAAAGGTTTTGTAATAAACATACTAAGCAACAGAAGCAGCATGCTGTAGACAGAGCTATGCAATTCAACAGTCAGTGGCTTAGATTAAATCTCTGGGGATCTGCCATATCTAATTGTGAATGGCAGTGAACAATGAAAAAAAAAATGGAGAAGAGCATCCTTGAACATTCCCTTCCCCACGGTGGCAGAGAGTGGAAAAGATGTAGATGAATAGCTCCACCCCACATGATGTCACCACCCACATGGTCTCTAGATGATCTAATTAACACTACTTGATACTATGAAATGGCTGAGTGCTCTGAATACAACATATGCTACAGGCCTCAACAATGTTCCAACTACAGTGCTGAGGGCTAGTGCTCCAAACTAGGCGGACCTCTGGCCAGCGGTTCCAGTACATCAACACTGGCATCTCTTCAAGAAAGTAAAAAGAAAAGCTTAGATACATTCTGCCCACAAAATGCTATTTAAATCCAATTTTATCAATTCCCACAATTCAGCCTGATCAGTATCTAAACCATTTTCTAGTGAGTTTTTCCTGCATGGACTGAGAGTCTGGGGTCCATCCACCCTTGATAGAATTAGGCTGCAAGGTTTGAAGTTCACAAACTTTTTGTCTCCTGCCACTCAAACCTGGTAGATATCCGATTCTGGGAAATCTATTGACCCCATTAGAAAGAACTCCACATCCCAGAAAATGCTGAGAACGATGCATCTCTTTGTTGACTGAAAACATCAGCAACCACAATCCAGTAACTGAGCCGAATGGTGAGGTTCAAGGCTTCAACATTCATATCAATAACCTGGACAACCCTTCACTGTTTGAGGACAGTGAAGAGGAGATGAAGGCATTTAGCTTCACAAGTGAAACATGAGGAATAGCTCAAATGGTCACTGTGGCCATCTATAATTTAGACCATCACCCATGCACTGAAGTCTTATCTTGAGAGATCAGTTCCTATTAGTAACCAATCATCCATGCTCTGTCAACTAAAGATAGATTTTTAACTTGACAGCAACCTATAACTTTCTGAATTTTCTGGATTTCTGAAGAAGGGTCCAGACCCAAAACGTCAGCCTTCCTGCTCCTCTGAGGCTGCTTGGCCTGCTGTGTTCATTCAGCTCTACACCTTGTTATCTCAGATTCTCCAGTATCTGCAGTTCCTACTATCTCTGGCCAAGTTAATTTAACAGTTATCCCCCTTATTCTGAACTTCCACATCAGAGAAAGTAGTTTACTTCCTTCCATTTGTCTTATCAAATCCTTTGTTTGATCACAGTTTAATCTTGGTACCCGAGGGAGTATGAATCTAACCTGAGGTGTGAGGCTCTGCCTCTGAAGTGGAGCCTCACTCACCTCAATCAAAGATGTCTGACAGGTGTCTGCTGTCTGGATTTGTGGGACCTCAAAATTCCCAGCTTTGGAATAAGCGTCCGGAAGATGTTCCTCAAACTGGACCTGACAACCTCTACAGATCTAATGATCTGTTCTGCAGTTAGTGAAACTCTTGTGCTGAAGTTATTGTGTCCATTATTCCATGACTGTTGCAATGTTGAATACATATCATTTTTTAATAATGTGTTACTTGATGCAGGAATGTACAGTGCACGAATAATGGACAATTCTGTTGGTGTGTCAATGATAAGGGTGATGCGGTGTTAGATAGCAATCAGACCACATCAGCAACTGCCTGTAAGTACATGAGAGCACCTGGAATAATCAAGAGAATAATGGTAATTAGTTTTCCCTTTATCATCATCAATAACATTTTAACTTGTTCTTAATTTCTAAACATCTCACTTTTGAAACTGTGCTCCACATTCCTCTGTACAATTTGTCAGAGATCAGCTTTGTTCATTTACTTCATATTCTTGAGCAGAGGTTTATAATGTTTCTGTGTGGAGGAGAGCCTTGTGAATACTTGAACAAGGCTAAGACAGTTTCTGTACTGACACACTGTTGTAGACCCCTGGAATCAGGTGATAATGCAAACTTCAGGAATGGAGTTAGACAGGACCCAAAAATTATGAGACTGGCCAGCTCCTTGACATTGGCCATTTTGAGGGAGTTAAAGTAGAGACAAATGGCAAAGATAAACAATTAATGACCCACTTGATTATATTGTTATACTATGTTAAAATTACCTAAGCCTCTCAATTAGATTTCAGTCCATCAATCACTCCCTGAAGACCATTATTTTACATAGAAACCATTTGAGCCTTTCAATTAGATTCTAGTCTGTAGCTCACACCCGAGCTTGCCATTATTCTATAGATAAACCACATGAATCACTCTATTAGATTCCCATGTACGATTCATCCCAGTTAACCACTAAATATATATGTTTTTACCTAAAATATACTTTGTTTTAAACTCTTTGAACCTGTTAATTTGATTCCAGCACGGTTTTCACTTCTCCCGATATCAATTTTTCTTTTCATTAACTACATTGCCCATTCTTGATTTCTCTGCAGGTTTATCATTTTGCCAGCTCCATCGCCAGCAGGTTCTGGTGAGTGGTTATGTGAATAGCAGCAGTACTTCCTATATCCCACAATGCACAGAAACAGGGGAGTATGAGATCGTGCAGTGTAGCACTGCCCCCAGACAGTGCTGGTGTGTCGACGGTGATGGGATGGAAATCTATGGAACACGGCAAGACAAACGACCATCTGACTGTGAGTCTCCATATTTTCTTTCAAATCAAAGGGACAAAGCATTTTCCTTGGTTGTATGAATGGCAGAAAGATTAAAACTGTATATTGCATCAAGGAGCCTTCGCAAAATTGAAGCCACAGGAAATCAAAAGGAAAGCTGTCCACTGTTTAAAATTATTCCTAGCACAAAGGAAGAAAATTGTGGTTGCTGATGGTTATCCAGTTCAGAACATAAACCACAGTTATTCCTCAGGGTAGTGCCCTCGGCCCAACCCCTTCAGATGTTTCATCAATGACCTTCCCTCCATCGTAACATCAGAAGTGGGGATGTCACTGATGATTGTACAATTTTCAGCACCATTTGTGATTCCTCAAACACTGAAGCAGCCGAAGTTCAAATGCAACAAGAACTGGACAATATCCAACTTACACAAGCAACTTACACAAAGGCAAAGACCAATCTCCAACAAAAGAGAATTTGACCATTTCCCCTTGATTTCTGATGGCATTACAATTGCTGAATATGGACCTTACCGTGCATTTACTGGGCTGATACACATCCTGTTGTGGTACTGATCTCCATACTTCATGGGATGTCCACATCCCACTATCAACATCCTGAAGGTTACCATTAACCAGAAACCAAACTGAACCAGCCATAGAAATACAACGGCAGGTCTTGGGCATAGTAAGACTGCAGCAAGTCAATTCCTGACTCCTCCCCAAAGCCTGTCCACCATCTACAAAGCACAAGTCAGGAGTATGATGGAGTACTCTTCATTTACCTGGATAGGCGCAGCTCCAATAACACTTAAGAAGCTTGACACTATCCAGGACAAAAACAATCTGCTTGATTGACACCATTTCCACCACCTTAAACATTCACATCTCTCGCCACCAACATACAGTGGCAGCAGTGTGTGCCACCCAGAAGATATACTGCACCAATTTACAGAGGCTCTTTGGACAGCACCTTCCAAACTTGCCACCCAAAGGGACAAGGGAAGCAGAAGCATGGGGACACCACTATCTGCAAGTTCCCCTCTGAACTAAACACCTTTCTGACGTGCAACTGAAGTTGCTGTTCTGTCATTTTTGCCTGGAATCCTGGAATCTCTTTCCTAACAGCACTGTGGGTGTCCCTACTCCTCCAGGAACTGTACGGCTGAAGAAGATGATTGCCATCATCTTTTCAGGGGTCCCTAGAATGGGGTCTTCAAAGCTAGGGGGTACATTTTTAAGATGAGAGGAGATTTCAAATATACATGAGGGACTAATTTTTTGCACAGAGGGTGGTTCACATGTGGAATGAACTGCCTGAGGGAGTGGTGGATGTGAGTACAATTACAATGTTTGAAAGACATTTGGATAAATACATGAATAGGAAAGATATGATGTTTTTAAAGTTTGTTAATTTGAGTAGGAGGACATAATGTGTAGTTGCATCTTGAGTTTCCAATTTTTCTAAAAGAACCCAGAGTCAGGAGTCAGTCGTTGAGGCAATCTCTATACTGTAGGACTCTATTACTCTATTTAGTCCATTGAGTCTGGTTCTGACAGCATTCCATGTTCTTCCCTTTGCCTGATGTTGTTTAACACCTTTGGCTAACACATTTGTACATTTGATCCAGCATCATCTCCCAGAATGTTCTCTCCTTATATTAAAGATTAATCTTAGAATGGTGGCATCAGAAAAATCATACGGAGATTTAAAAACAATAAGATTTATTTCATAGTTTTGTTTGTGAAAATATTGGAAATGGGAAAAACAAGGTTGTTTACCTGATTAATCAGACAACAATGAGGGTGATGTACCAGGAACATGTGGCTACGGGCAGTTAGAGAGAGAAGGACATGTGATAAAATCTTAAGCACTGCATTGACAACCCAAGTTCTATCTCACGAAAGAAATTCTGATTAGGAAATAATTGCTAATCTTTTTTGAAGGTCAGTATCCCGTCACCAAGTCACCCTTTATTTACCTGTGCACAGTAGCCCACTCAGAGTCAGTCCCCTGAACTGAGGAAATTCTAATCTCCTGGTTATATTGGTCATCTAGGGCTTTCCTGATTGGTCCAGGTTAAAAACCCCAATCAAGGATCTCATAGTCAACAGATCCAGTTGGTTCCAACCATAACATTGTTCAGGGAGTCGGGAGGATTAATGAAATGAGATAAAACTACCAAATAGATAGTCAGTGGGTGAAATCCATTTTGATGTTTTGGCTAAAATGTGCTGTGTGGTTTTTCTGTTAAAAATCATTTCAAGGTAAAGGCTACAAAGCTTCTTTGGGAAGTTATGTTGATGTTGTACAGGACATTGGTGATGCCTGATCTGGAATACTATAACCAGTTCTGGTCACCCAGTTATAGGAAAGATATTTTTAAGGTGGAGAGGATTCAGAAGAGATTTACAAGGATGTTGCTGGGTATGGAAGGCTTGAGTTATAAAGAAAGGCTGGATAGGCTGGGACTTTTTTCACTGGAGCATAGGAGGTTGAGAGGCGACTGTATAGAAGTTTATAAAATAGTGAAGGGTATAGATAGTTGTCTTTTCCCTAGAATGGGGTCTTCAAAGCTAGGGGGTACATTTTTAAGATGAGAGGAGATTTCAAATATACATGAGGGACTAATTTTTTGCACAGAGGGTGGTTCACATGTGGAATGAACTGCCTGAGGGAGTGGTGGATGTGAGTACAATTACAATGTTTGAAAGACATTTGGATAAATACATGAATAGGAAAGATTTGGAGGGATAAGGGCCAGCAGCAGGCAGGTGGGACTAGTGTAGTTTGGTATTATGTTCAGCATGGACTGGTTACACTGAAGGGTCTGTTTCCAGGCTGTATAACTCTACGATTTTATGTTTATTTGTTATCATTTATTAGGTTGATCTTCAAGCTGTCAATCATACAAATACTTCCAGGTCACTGTCTGCAGAACAGGAAAATCCCTATTACACTAGATACAAAGGACAGAATGTGGCAGGTTTGGAGGAAAGGGGACCTGGGTAGAATAACTGCACCATGATGGATCCCTGGTACATCTATGCCATCAGGCAGGCAAAAGGATTGGCTGGGCTGCTGATAAGAGATGGGCAATTTACCTGCTTGAGGCCCCAATTAGGGCAATTTTGTGATTTTACTGAAATTACTCCAGATGTTTGGGAGGGCTATTGAAACTGGAACCTCCATCCCCCAAGAGTGCCTGAAATCCCAAAGAGCTATCTAGAGACATTTTCACTCTCATCCCAGGAACTTTGTTCATTTTCATTCTAAACTTACATCTTTGAAGGCACCTCCATATTGAAGTGCCTCTTGAGCCTTCTACAACTCTCAGCAATGTCCAACTCTCCCTTAATTGGACTTTGACCTTAGAGGCTACCTCCAGGTAAAGATCTCCTTTGGTCTGATTTCCAGAAACTACAGGCTCAGGACCACCATTTCATTCCTGAAGTTGGAGCCCCAAAGCTCAGATGGAAAACCTTCCCAAAGATACCACCAAATTAATTCACCTGGTCCAGGTTTAAGCTTCTGGGCTTGAAGTTTAGGGGTTCAGGACTCATTTCAAGATTTGTGACATTTGCGCACGATGGACACAGGTTGAATTGAGTCAGATGTGTTAATGGTTAATGCCTAATGCGAACAGTGTGGGAGACCTGTCTGACACTGGAGACCTGTCCTCGCTTTATGAGGATTAATGCCCCTCATTAGCCACTAACTGCATGTATTTCTCTCTCTCTAACAGCAAATGATGCAAATGGCCCCTTCCAGACCATGGCTAATCACCGAAGTAGATAGACCTTTTGTGTAAATTTAATCCATAGTGTCTACTCCTCTTAATTGAAATAATGTGATTCATACAGTGTGAAATCTTTGAAAACTCACCATTTCTTGAAACCTGTCTTTCGGTGAGCAGAATATCAGGGCCTGATTGAATTCCACCAGCGAACTTTTGACTGAGGAGAGAAGCCTGTTGGATTTATTCTGATGAAGCTTTTATTTTCATACTCACATTACTTTGTATCAATAAAGGTCCCACAAGCTGTGAGGTTCAAGATCGGCGAATTCTCCATGGCATTGGCATGAAGTCCCCACCACAATGTTCAAAGGATGGGAAGTTTTTGCCCGTCCAATGTAGGTTCATCAACACAACCGATATGATGGTCTTTGACTTAATCAATAACTTCAGCAGGTAAGGAAGAGGGAATCAAGTTTCAGAAATATGTGGACAGATGGGCCTAATGTTTGGAAGGAAAAATGGGAATCTGTGCAAACCTGCAGCAAGTCCGTTAACATCTGAATAAACCATATTGCCTTTAGAGAGGGAATCGTGATTGGGAACATCCTCAGAGCTGCTCCTTCACTCGAGGACAGTAATGGACACCAAGCTTCTATGCATTAGTGTGGCTTTCAGACTCACTCCCAGCAAAGTCACAGCAGCAAAGTGGGAGAATGCTGAGGGAATTCCCAACATCCCTGTCAGGGTACCAAATTTTGCCAATAACATTATCAATGAATAATCAGCCCAGCTTTTTATGTTTAAGAGGATGTTATGCCATTGACAAAAGTACAGAGGAGTTTTATCAGTATGGTACCAGTAAGGAAGGAATTTAGTTATTTGGAGAGAGTAAGAAAACTTGGGATGCTCCCTAGAGCAGAGAAGGTTAGAAGAGAATTATTAGAGTTATTCAAAATTGTAGCCTTTTTTTGGAGTAAATGAGGAGAAATTGTTCTCACTGACGTGAGGTTCAGTCACCAAAGGACATGGATTTAAGATATTGGCAAAATAACCAGAGGGCAAAGCAAAGTGAACTTTCTTTAAAAGGCAGCGGTTTGTTATGAGCTGGGATGCATGGCCTGGAAGTGGGTGGAAGCCGATTATTTACCAATTTTCGAAAAGAAAATTGGCTCAGTGGTTAGCACTGCTGCCTCACAGCGCTAGGTACCTGGGGTCGATTCCATCCTCAGGCGACCTGTCTGTGTGGAATTTGCACGTTCTCCCCGTGTCTGTGTGGGTTTCCTCCGGGTGCTCCGGTCTCCTCTCACAGTCCAAAGATGTGCAGGCTAGGTGGATTAGCCGTGCTAAATTGTCTGTAGTGTTCAGGGATGTGTGGATTCGGTGGGTTATAGGGGAATGGGCCTGGGTGTGATGCTCTGAGTATCAGTGTGGACTTGTTGGGCCAAAGGACCTGCTTCCACTCTGTAGGGATTCTATGATCTACTCAAAAAGTATGAACATTTACAGATTTACAGAGAAAGAGCAAAAAGATGGGACAATTGGACAGCTCAGTCAAAGAGACAGCACGGGATCAAAGAGGCTTTTTTTCTGTGGTTTTGTGATTCTATTCAAAGAAACATTAATGCTCACTTTTCAAACCTGTTTCTTGTCTTTTAAAGAGACTAAAGTAACTCACAATTTTAAAATGCTGATGGTTGTCGATGACACTAACATTAACATGAGCTGAAAGACATGAGCTCAGAATGATGAGTACTTTGGCAAGTTGAGAAATTTCTGATGAGGGTCTCTGATTCTAGCTGACATTGTGAGATCCTTTGTAAACATCTCTTCTATTTCTAGTGAAACCAAAATGTGTACAAGCAAATATTTATGAGTTCAGTTTGACTCTTGAACTTTAGGACTGTATTCTTGCAGGAGGGTGCTCTTGTCCTAGCAGATAGAACAAGGATCAATGTCAGAGCAAATTACTGCAGATGCTGGAAACAAAAGTTGCTGGAGATCACACTGGGCCAGGCAGCATCCATGGAGTGAAAGCAAGCTAACGTTTTGAGTCTAGATGACTCTTCATCAGAAATCAAGTGTGGAGGGGACAGCATTTATGCAATATACGGGCAGGGGGGGAGGCGGTGGGGATGGGGTTACAATGCCGGGGAGAAAGGATGTTGATAGTTCAGTTTAAGTGATCGGAATGCGAGAATGACAGAATAATGTTGTGTCTAATTGCCAGACTGGAAAGAACAGACAGCCCCACTGGAGTTGGGGGACAGGGAGAGAGTTCAGGGTGACAGAGAATGTAACAAGGAAAGCTAAAAGAAAGGGAAGGAATGGGATCACAATTTGAAAGTGATGACCTCAATATTAAGTCCAGAAAGCTGTAAAAGTGCCTAATATGAAGATGAGATGTTGTTCCTCCAGTTTGTGCTGTGATTCACCGGAGGAGTGCAGCATGCCGAGGACAGATAAGTGGGTATGTGATAAAATGACTGTCTATGGGAAGAGATGGCAGGAACTGCAGATGCTGGAGAATCTGAGATAACAAGGTGTCGAGCTGAAGGAACACAGCAGGCCAAGCAGCATCAGAGGAGCAGGAAATCTGACGTTTCGGGTCTGGACCCTTCTTCAGAAAAAGACCTCCAAAAAAACCTCCATTCCCCACCATAATGGTCTCAGAGCTCTCGACTCCTTCTTCTACCAGAGGCCTGAACAATCCCCATCCATCGACACTCTCCTCCACTTGGCTGAAACTGTTCTCTCAGTGAACAATTTCTCCTTTAATTCATCTCACTTCTGCCAAGTCAAAGGAGTTGCTATGGACACCCTTATGGGTCCCAGTTATGCCTGTGTCTTTATGGGATATGTGGAACAATTCTTGTTCCAGTCCTACACTGGCCCCATCCCACAACTCATTCTTCGGTATATCAACGAATGTTTTGGTGCTGCTTCGTGCTTTGAAAACCTTGAAACCTTGGACCTTGAAAAATTAGCTCATTTTATCTCGATTTTCCACTCCTCTCTAACTTTTACATCTTCCATTTCCAACACTTCCCTTCATTTCCTTAACCTCTCTGTCTCCATTTCGGGGAATAAACTATCGACTGCCATCCACTACAAATCAACTGACTACCAAAGTTACCTTCACTACTGCTCATCACACCCCACATCCTGCAAGGACTCCATCCCATTCTCCCAGTTTCTTCCCTTATGTAGCTTCTGTTCGGATAATACCACCTTCCAAAACAGTGCTGCTGACATGCCTTTGTTCTACCACAAGCATTGGTTTCCTGCCCACTGTGGTTGGTAGAGCCCTCAACCACATCTGACCTTGTCCCTTCCCATCGCTCACAACAGTGTGATCATGTCCCCTTTGTTATCACTTTTCATCCCACCAGCCTTCACATTCAAAGGATCATTCTCTACCATTTCAGCCAACTCCAGCAGAATGCCACCACCAAACATCCTCCCCTCACTCCCTCGTCTGCATTTTGCAGGAGTTGTTCCCTCCAACTCCACGACTACTTCCCCTCTTCCCATGGCACCTTCCCATGTAACTCCAGAAGGTGCAACACCTGCCCCTTCCCCCCTGCTCACCATCCAAGGGTGTAAACAGTCTTTCCAGGTGAAGCAGCATTTCACCTGTACCTCCTCCAAACTTGTGTATTGTATTCGCTGCACCCAATGTGGCCTATTCTACATTGGAGAAACCAAACACAGACTGGGTGACTGCTCTGCAGAACACCTCTGGTCTGTGCGCACACATGACCCTGACCTTCACGTAGCTATTCAATTTAACAGAGTGTCCAGCTCGCACGCCCACTTGTCTGTTCTTGGCATACTGCAGTTCTCCAGTGAATCACAGCAAAAACTCATCTTCAGATTAGGCACTTTACAACCTTCTGGGCTCAGTATTGAGTTTAACACCTTCAAATTGTGAACCCATTCTTTCCCTTTCTTTTAGCTTTCCTTGTTACATTCTCTGTCAACCACGTCCTTTCTCCCTGTCCCCCACTCCAGTGGGACTGTCTGTTCTTTCCAGTCTGACGATTGGACACGTTATTATTCTACCATTCTCACATTCCGATCACTTAAACTGAACTATCAATATGGTAGTCTAATGGTTAGGATTAGGCACTCCCATCGCTGCGGCCTGGGTTCATTTGCTAGTCAGGGAACTCACGTTGTCCTTGTACACGGTGGCTTAGTGGTTAGCACTGTTGCCTGACAGCACTAGGGACCCAGGTTCAATTCCACCCTCGGGCAACTGTCTGTGTGGAGTTTGCACATTGTCCCTGTGTCTGTGTGGGTTTCCTCCAGGTGCTCCGGTTTCCTCTGACAGTCCAAGAATGTGCAAATTAGGTGGATTGGCCGTGCTAAATTGTCTGTAGTGTTTAAGTGGGTTATAAGGGGATGGGATGCTCCAAGGGTCAGTGTGGACTTGTTGGGCTGAAGGGCCTGTTTCCACACTGGAGGGTTTCTATGATATTTTAGGGGTGGCACTGTGGTTAGCACTGCTGCCTCACAGCGCCAGGGACCCGGGTTCAATTCCACCCTCAGGTGACTGTCTGTGTTGAGTTTGCACATTCTCCCCTCGTCTGGGGCCGAAGGGCCTGTTTCCACACTGTAGGGATTCTATGAACATCATTTCTCCCCTAGTACTCCAACACCGTCCCCCTACTATTTGCATAAATGCTGCCCTATCCACACTGCAGCTCTGATGAAGAGTCATCTAGACTCAAAATGTTAGCTTGCTCTCTCCATGGATGCTGTCTGACCCACTGTGATCTCCAGTATTTTTTATTTTCAGAATAAGGCTCAAACTTCCTACCTAAAAAACATGAGTCTAGGACAATCAACTCCTTCAAAGTGGACCTGTGTACATTAGAAACAATAACATGGCATGAACAAAGATTTCTGAAATAGCTGGGCTAAGGCAGGGATGAGTTGGCTGGTGTCTTTCTCAATGACAGAGGAATTAGGTTGAATGGCATTGAAGAAAAACGGGTGTAAAACGATGAGCAGCAATTAATGAAGATAAGGTGTCAGTTGTGAAATCTTGAAGGTAATGACAAGAAGAAAAGATAAGGAATTTCAGATTTTAGAGGCCTCGAGAAAGATTCAGTCAGGATAAGAGATGGTAGAATGAGACTTTATTTTGATATGATGAGAACACATGCAGACTGTGTTGGTTCCTTTAGCATCCTTCAAACTTGTTGTCTAATAAGTGATCCTTTCTCACCTCTGATCCCTCTTCAGTCTTTGATGTTTGTATTTTACCAGCACTGTGATCAGGACAGCTGTCAGATTTCTTTCATTGCTCCTCATTGTGACAAAATCAAGACTTCCCCCAACTTCATTTCAATATTTCCCTTAAATGCCAAAGCATAACATTCATCACTTCCTTCAGTCCTTATTTTACTTAAGTCCCAAACTTACTAAAACCCAAAATTGTTCTTGTAGTTATTTCCCTGTTCACATTATCTTTTGTGTGGTTCTTTTCAACTTTGTGCCAATTAGCCTCACAATTTCTCAACAGGACAAATGAACATTTGGTTGAATATTGTCAGGCTATTCAACCACGGCATGGTAACCCAAAACCGGATCCTGTAGTCTCTTTGCACACTTTCTTTCCAGAAAGCTTCAGGGGATCACAGTTAAGTGGGTATATTTTAAGGGAGGTGAGAGAGGGAGATAATGTGGAGTTTAGGAAAGGAATTCACAAACGTTGAGATGATAATACCCAAGCTATGAACCCACATTCCTTGGCTATCCAGCCCTGGGGTAATACTTAAACGCAGACCTGCTGTCTCAGAAGTAGGAATGCTACCTACATATTAAAAGACCTCCATTCATCACTTAAAGCATGACATTGCAGTGCAAACTACAGCTGCTGTTTTCTGTGATTCCTTCAGGGGGAGATGTGCAATTAATTTTGGAAGAATAAGCACAGGATACAGCCAGTCACAATGTTTAACTGCTTTATTACTCGACAACGTGGCCTTTAAGAACTCACACTTGATGCTGGATTTTGTGTGTGGTAGTCCCTCTTACAGTATCTTTTGTGGGGATGTTGTTGCACTACAACTACCACAGGCAGTCCTGGCTGACCAGGAAACTTTCCCACTCTTCCTGCATGTAGTGGTCATTTCAGGAGAATCTTTAGAGTGACAATCAACCTCCTTAACCACATTATGACACACTTTCAATGGACATCAAATCCTGAAGTGAGACTTGAGTCTATAAGTAGGGATGTTACCACACATATTGAAAGTACTACATTGCAAAATTAAAATTACAACTGCTGAATTTCATCCCTCCACCAGAGGAGATGTGCAATGAGAACTGGTGGGCATCGGTCTAATCTGCTGCATCAAGGATGTATATTTATACACTGCGTGGTCCACTGTGTGTCTGTCTGAAGTTCATATCTGTGTCATATTGTTACAAAACTCCAGGAGCAGATTCCATAAAGAGAGTAGTGAGTGTGGATAAGTGCTTCAAGGGATAAATCACTTTCTAACAGAACAGATACAATGAAACACATCAAAAGTTTGAACTAGAACGTTATCTCCCTTCCTATCTCAACACATGCAGAGTTAGGAGTGAGGTTGAGTGGAAATTCTTTTTAGTGCTTAAGCCTTTTTGTTGGTGTTGATGATTTGTTTGACTGTGTAGATTCTACGTGTGGGCCCGATGTGGAAGTAGTGGCTTGGGGAACATTGCAGTTGAAGGCAAGTTCTCTTCTGGTCAGACATTCAATTTCAGCAATTTCCAGCCTGGCCACTGGATGGCGTCTAGACATTCTTTTGAAAAAGACTTGTGACCAAGGTTGTGGTCATCAGCCCTTGTAGCTGGTCGTGTGGCTCAGTGTCAGATTTATTTGACACAATTCCTGTGAAGCACCTTGTGAGGTTTTGCAATGTTAAAGACTACATGAGTAAAAGTTGCTGTTGAGGTTGGTTAGTCCTCCCTAAACCAGTGATCCTGAGCACTGCTCTAGCTGAGATTAGTACTAGCATTTTGAATCAAGTACAGCACTAGACAGTAGATTTACCAGGGGCAGTTGGAAACATTATTTCTGAAACAAAGTGTTGAACCACGTGATGGGTTTCATCATCTTTCAAAAGGGGATTTCACAAGACAGAAGGACATTTGACATAGTAAGGATTGAATTCCTCACTAACTGGGATAGTGAGCAATAATGGATCATCATTGTCCTGTAGGCAGCTTGACTTCCTTAGTGACTGGAACAGGAAATCTTACCTTCACCTGACTGCAGGGTCATCTATTCCTCACAGAGATTGTGCATTCATATAGTTGGGTGAACAATGTCTGGGGTATCATTATGTTTTAGGTTTGGTATGCCTGTGATTTTTTTTACCTCTAATCATGTTTGCTTGTTGATGTAAGCCTGGGCTCAGTGGTAACAAACACTCTTACCTAATCACATAATCTAGACTAGCACAGTACTGAGGGAGAGTTTGTTCAACGTTGAACTGAGATCAATCTGCCCACTCTATTTGAAATATTTGAAGAAATTTAAGAGAAGCGTTTCAGTGTCAGGGCAGCATTTGTCCCTCAATCAAAGCCTATAACATGATCTAACCAAGTCAGAAGTCACACGACACCAGGTTATAGTTGTGTGACTTCTGACTTCGCCCATTCAGTCCAACACCAGCACCTCCACATCATGATTTAACTATTATTGCGTCATGCTGTACAGCAATTGGCTGCTGCAATTTCTACATTGGAACAGAGGCTACACTTCAGAAGTAGACCATTTGGCCTCTGATTATTTTGTCTGTAAATAGATAGCCCTGCTAGCTGCCCTCCTAATTCTGCCTCTGGAAAAATGTTGTGGGAGTAGGATGAAGCCAGCAAACTGATAGGTTGTCTGTGGATGTGTGTTTCCTTACCCATCTGCCTTTGTGCTAACCTTCCTTTGGGGCTAAAAGTCCTATCTCACTTATATGAATAGGGGCACAGATGTGGTTTAGCTTTGCCAAGTGCTAGAAAGCCTGACAATGGTTCAGAGGAATACAACCGATGTCCCTGAACTGCTGCTCACCGGCACAAAATGTCTCAAAGCCGATTAAATACTTTTGAAGTATGGTCACTGGTGAAATGTGGAGCATGGCAATCAATTTGTACACAGTAATGAACCGTAATCATGTAAGTCAATATTTTTACTCAACTTGTTCAGAGATGTTGTTACACACCTCCAGAGCAGGTGAGACCTGGATCTTCTGGCTCAGAGGTAGGGATGCTATCACATGCCACAAGAATAAATAAACAGATATGAAACTGTGATATTAATTGAGGACTAACTTTTGGCAGGACACTTGGAAGAAATCCCTGCATTGCAAATCTGCAGCTTCGAATCTGCAGTATCACATCTGCAGGCTCATATCTGCAGGCTTGCATCTGCAGGCTCAAATCTGCAGGCTCACATCTGTCAGCTCACATCTGCAGGCTCACATCTGTCGGCTCACATCTGCAGACTCACATCTGCAGCTTTGCATCTGCAGGCTCACATCTGCAGGATCACATCTGCAGACTCACATCTGCAGCCTCACATCTGCAGCTTTGCATCTGCAGGGTCACATCTGTCGGCTCACATCTGCAGACTCACATCTGCAGCCTCACACCTGCAGCCTCACATCTGCAGCTTAGCACCTGTCGGCTCACATCTGCAGGCCCACATATGTTGGCTCACATCTGCAGGCTCACATCTGTTGGCTCACATCTGCATGTTAACATCTGCAGACTCACATCTGCAGGCTCACATCTGCAGCTTCACATCTGCAGGCTCACATCTGCAGGATCACATCTGCAGACACACATCTGCAGACTCACATCTACAGCCTCACACCTGCAGCTTCGCATCTGCAGCTTTGCATTTGCAGGCTCACATCTGCAGGCTCACATCTTCAGGCTCACATCTGCAGGCTCAGATCTGCAGGCTCACATATGCAGGCTCACATCTGTCGGCTCACTTGTGCCCATTTTGTTTAGGTTTCAATTGAATGCCAATTCCATAAAAAGTACTCCAACAACAATGGAAACATTTGGGAGGAGAGAATGGGAGGGAGGTACAATTGGACAAATAGTGACGGAAATTGGTTAGATATGGAATTGCGCAGGAAATCCAAATTATGAGCATCTTTACTTTTTGGAGAATGCTCTTAAGTATGATATGCCAGAGTAAGCATGTGATATTCTTTAAAAAAATGTATATATATCTATGTTTGTACGTGTATATGTATATATAAATAACTATAAAAATCAATATAAAAATAAATACAAAGTATGAATTTATGAATAGTATTTTCATTCTCTGTGTATTTGGAATTTGAGAGCTTATTTTATGCTCCTTCCCTTGCAGACTCCCCGCTGCATTCCACACATTCAGTGCCTTCAGGAGGAGTTTTACTGATGTTTCTGCTTACTGTTATTGTGCTGACAGTTTGGGACGGGAGCTTCAGGCCACAGGTGAGAGATCCTGCTGGGCTGTTAAATCATAAGATATTCCCCAGATGTCACCCCCTTTCTTCTGTCAAATCCTTGATTTCCCACTGGTGTCCAGCTCCACAGGCATGGCCGCTGTCAGGAGCCATGTGGCCCTTCTTCATATAAAAGCTGAGTCAGTGTTCAACCGTTGTGGTGAGGCAGCATGTTTCAGTCAACTTTCACATGCCCACACTTTCCACACTGGCTCACAGAGACAGTGGTCAACACTGGGTGATGCCAACCCTCCTCCTCCCACCACCTCTGCCATCTCTTCCTGTCGCAAGGTGACCTGTGTTACCTGAGAGTTGCTCTGACCGAACACAGCCCAAGGATTGACTTTTTAATCAAACTGCCACTCAGCAGGGTGGGGAGAATATCATTTCATACTACTTTGCTGGCACTCAGGGATAGCCGTGTTCCCAAAGTTAGTCTGCAGAACATTCAACTTTTGCATCATGAAAAACATTTGCTTGTGGATCTGCCTGAATTTCCCTTCTCATTAACACAGAACACAACCAAAGACAACATTTCTACTCTATGTTTTTGTCAGTCGAGCAATTGAATTAACTCCCTATTGCAGTAGAATTCCTATGCCCCCCCACCCCCACTTTCTTAAAGGCACGGTATGTATCCTATCCCTGTGCCTTGGCAACTCCTTTGGTTAGAACGTCTTCTGCTTTCTTAGACCTCCACATTCACCTTGATTTTGACCAATTGCAATTTTGATAAAAACATTTTGGGAGTAGACATTAAATTGGAATTCAGGAATGTGCAGAGGGCGTTTAAGTTGGCATGGTTATGGCATAGGAAGAGTATGGGGGTGAGGGGGCATAGGGGTGAGTGCTGGAGAATTATTTTTTATTTCTAAACTTTCAGAGAGGTTAAGTACCTCTTTTGATCTGGTCCCAAGACATATTTGGTAGAACTAAGGCTTGCTTTGGGTGAGGTAAGATAACCTTTGGGATTTTCCAAAGGCCTGATTTTGCAGCATAAACTTATTAGGACTTTCAAAGTTGTCAACTATCTAAAAAAAACACAGTTGAAAAAAAACACTGCTAAGTATTTGAGAGTAGTTGCCTTTATAAAATGATTATAGGATTTTTGCTGCATGAGTGATTTTTTAAACTATCATTTTCACCATGGATATGAGCCTATTATGGATAGCTCCACCTGCTAATTGTATGACATTATTTTGAAGAAGTACAGAAAAGTTATCCTCAGTGTTCTGCCCAATATTTATCCTTCAATCAAACTCAGGTTAGTATTGCATCAACTGGCAAGTGCTTTGAGATATCTGGTAGCTCACTAAAAGCTAATCTCTCTCTCTTTCTTGTGTTCCTTTCCCTGTCTAAAGGAGTACGGAAGAGAAAGAGAATAGAAAAAATACATTGAGAGGTTCAGATGAGATAGATAGAATGGAGGAAGATTTGTACCTAGTATAAACATTAGCAGAGACTAGTTAGATTGACTGGCTTGTTGTAGGAATTATTTTCCATGGAATGCTCTCCAATTTATCTGTGGTGAATAGAGCCATTTGCTCCAAAGGGCCAGTCCCCTTCTCACTGATCAACCCCTTGCCAAGCACCTTAATTTCTCCAGAGCAACTTTAAAGAGAAGAAGTGAAATTCTTCAGATGCCGTAAATCTGAAATCAAAATGAAGGAGACAATCAGCTGATCTGACACATCTATGGAGAGAGAAGGACAGTTAACATTTCAAGTCCGATGACTTTTCTGAAGACTTTTATTTCCAGACCCCTTACTCCTAAGGTATAGAGAGTATTTTGTTTTGAAGACCCTAAACCTGCCTGCTCTTATTATTTTTACTTTTTTTTGTCAGGTCTGGAGTTGTTATTGGACGAAATCTATGATACTATCTTCAATGATTCACAGCTTGGGCACTCGTTCACAGATACTGGCATTTATCGCATTTTGCAGAGGAGATTCCTCGCTGTGCGACTGCTGATCACCGGCAGATTTAGATGTAAGTGCTCACAGAGAAGATTCATTCTGATGTTGACTAATAGTTTGCCTCTGGGTTCACAGTCAGCTTGGGACTCTGGAATCTTGTTTTAACCAATGACGTTTTCTGTTCCCTAGCTATATGGACATTACGTAAAAAAGATTTGCATAAATGCCATCCATTCTCTTGGGGGTATGGAGTTAAACAAAAAAAATTCTTAATTTGGCATAAAATTTGAATTGCCGTTATGATTGCTTTCCTCCTAGTCTCAGTTTCTGCAGGGAACATATAATCTTGCAATCTTAGGGTACATTTGAGGATTGATGCACCTCAGGTCTCTTCTTGCTCCCAAATATTCTTGTTTTCTTTGCCCCTGCTGGACAGACCCTTTAACAGAGAGTGTTCTCCTACTGTAGAGAACCGCATTTATTGTCCTGAGAAACTGATGGTTTCTTGAATATCTACAGTGCTTCCACTGATGCTGCTACCTCAGTGCTGTTTTGTAGGATGATGCAGGAATAGAAGCTGTGTCCAAATGGTGATGAAGGGGCCTTGGGGATTGAGATGGACGGACTGAGACTGAGAGCCAGGGGGTGGGGAGGCGGGGGGTGAGGGGGATCCCAATTTGATACCAATACTGCTCAGATCATTTATTGAGCTACAGAGGCATGCAGCACGTAAACAGACCCATTGGTCCAACCAGTCAATGCCAACCATAATCGCAAACCAAACTACTCCCACCTGCCTGCACTCAGCCCATATCCCTGCAAACATTTCTTACTTATGTACTTATGCAAATGTATTTTTAACATTGTTACTGTACCTACATCCTCCACTTCGTCTGGAAGTCCATTCCACACATGAACCACTCTGTGTTAAAAAGTTGTCTCCCATGTCTTTTTAAAATCTTTCTTCTCTCTGCTTAAAAATATGCCCCCTAGTCTTGAAATACCCCGCACTAGGGAAAAGACACCTGCCATTCACCTTATATACACCCCTCATGATTTTATAAACCTCTATAAGGTCACCTCTCAATCTCCTATGCTGCAGTGAAAAATTTGTTTGCTACTGATTACCTAAGTCAGTCTTCTGGACTGTGAGCACAGAAATGTTTGCATACCTGTTACTGGGTGGATGAGGAACAAATCCCACAGCTTAATGGTAAAGGCCAAGGTGTCCCCAATATTGGGCCTTGCATAGGCTCCATTTCCATGGTGGGCTGCATGGAATGGCTGCCAGAGTGTAACTGACCACTGCGTTGCAGCTGACAGGCTTTTCAAAGGGAAGGAGTGCTCCTCGCTGCTGCTCCCAGCTCCTAATTCAAGTGGAGAGGGAGCCTTTCCTGTTGGCAGTGCATTGTACTGTGTGAGCCCAGCATGTGACAAGTGGAAATGTGACAAAAATGCAGGAATCTAAGTTATACAACATCTTACTTAGCATTCACCTGGACAAATGCCACCGACAGCAAAAAGCATCAAACTGGGGAGCCGGTTACGCCTGGCCTATTATGCATCCATCTCCCTTGCTATTAATTTGGAAGGCCAGAATATTTTATTATGGCCCTTATCCTGTAACCTTCCAAATGCAGGATCATGTCTGGGTAGGTGGTAAAACCGTTAGCAGGCCTAAACTCAAGGTTACTCTTTGTGAATGTGCTGTGAATTCTGCCTAATGTATAGGCAAGTGAAAGTTCTCCATGTGGGAAGTACATCCAATGACAAGGGTATCCTGATGCAAAAAAATGGCAAAAGCATCAAGCAAAAGAAGAGGAAAAATACATCAAAATGCAACATTTTGCTAGTGAGCTTTACCTTTTGTTACAGGCCCGACGAAATGTGAAATTGAAAGGTTCACAGCTTCCTCATTTGGTAATGTCTTCATTCCCTCGTGCGATGACAATGGAAACTATCTACCAGTCCAGTGTCAGAACAGAGATCAGTGCTGGTGTGTAGATTCCAATGGACAAGAGATCTTTGGAACAAGGCAGCAGAGAAGAGAGCCTGACTGCAGTGAGTATCTGTTGGCTGTTTCAACTATCACTAGCCAACTTATAGCATAAAACTCACACAATTTTCTTAACTCCAGTGGCTTCACTAGGCCATCGCCTCACTAATTTTCCTTTGTTTCCTGGGTTTCCTTTTTGTTTCCTTTTAAAACATATATCCAGTTGTCATTGAAAAATTGCTATTAAATCTGCTTCCAATACACATTCAGAAAATGGATTCTGGACCTTAACAATTTTCTGCATAAAAAGAATTTAACTCATCTCCTCCAGCTTCTATCACCACTCCAAAGCCCTGGTTCTTTTGCCAAGTATTTCTAGGCTAATTGCAAGTTGGAAATAAGTTCTCTTTATTTACGCTGTAAAAAGTCTCATAATTTGGAACACATTTGTAAAGAAGATGTAATTCCATCTAGTGTGAATCTTGTATATTGTTACATTCTGGCCCATTTGACACAGTAGTAATAGATGTTTGTGCCATCACAATTATATTAACATTGCTTTACCGCCAGGCACTAAACTGTGAAAAACTCTTCTACAAACCTATCCTTGTCCTGCGCCTTCTCAGGTCATATTTTTAGATTAAAAGTGCGTCTCTAGTTTCTGATAAACCAAACACAGAACACAAGTTCAGATTAAATATTGATGGAACAGGGCAGCATAAGTTCAAAAGGAATGAGTCACATTTCTGACCTATAAGTTTAGATTTGGGAAATAAATCTTGGTTCAAATTTTGCGAGATCTTGGTGTCAGGCATTGAATGTTGGAAATGCATAGGCAGTGGCCTTTGATTTCTGCTATGGGCTGGGTGCAAGTGAGGCCCTTTTTGTGAGACTGGGACTTGTTAAAATTTGCGAGATACTGTGGTCAACCCATGGTATGGATTTCTGAGTAAGCTAGTAAATGTGAAGGACTGTGAAATTGCCTAATACTTGTAGAAACAGATTCTGAGGGATACCAGAGGATCTTTTGTTAGGTTGGGCCACATAATGTTTCTATTTATTTCTTTCTTGGGATCTTGTAAAAATATCGTCATTGTTGCAGTTCCACTCAACTGTTTGCAACATATCACAAAAAATAGTTTTCAAGATGTGAGCACAACTCTGATCATAATGGACCATTTCACAATGCTTAAAATCATTGAATGATTTGATTTTGAGGAGCAACAGCCTAATTTTGCACAGAGTCGTTCAGATTGTAATAGCGTGAATTTAGAGAAAATACTTTTTATTACTGAGGGAATTAAGAACAGTGGAACATAATCTTACAGTTGTGTGATTTTATACAGATTGGAGAGTAACTGGAGGAAGGCATGATCACTTACAACTATAAATGAGAAATTATCATGGGGAATGAGGAAATGGTGCAAGGTGAATACCAGAAATAGGGCAGCTAAAAGTCAAACGAGAATGAGAATCATAATATTAACAGTTAAAGAGAAATTTAAGGGTCTAAAAGCCATTAAATTCTTAGGACCTGGTGGCTTATATTTTAGAGTTCAAAAGATGTAGCTGCAGAGATAGTGATAGTTATACTTTTCTGAAATTGTTCTAGAACAGTCCCAGTAGATTGGTACTTAGCAAACATAAGGCCACAATTCAAGAAAGGAGAGAGAAAGAAGGGAATTACAGGCCAATTAGCCTCAAGATGTACTATCATGGAAGTCTTAACAAATAGAAGATCATGGTGTAATCAGCTAGAGTCAATATAATTTTACAAAAGGAAACCATTGTTTGTCAAATTTATCAAGAACATTTGAGGATGTTACCAGTAGGATAATTAAAAGGGTGCTTGGATTTTCAAAAGAAAAGCTAGGATACCATGCGAGAGGTTAATATGAAAGATAAGGATAATTGGAGTGGGTGTAGTATATTATCATGGAAAGAGGATTCATTAGCATAAAAACTGAAAGCTTGTTTCTTTGGCGGGGAATCTAGCACATGGGGACACAGTCTGAGGATGGTCAATAATTTAGGACTGAGATTAGGAGAAATTTCTTCTCTCATCATGTCTTGAATCTTTGGAAATGTGAGAGGATTGTGGATCCCCATTATTGAAAATATTTAAATAGATTTGAATGAGAAATGCAACCATCTGATGCTGAATGGAGAGTAGTCTTCTGGGAGGACAAAGTTGACTTAATTTCTATTTCCTTCTAGTTCATATGTTAAGTGGAGCTAAACTGTTGGGAGCAAAGTCACTCATTCACACGAACATTGGTAGAACTTTGGAAATCTAATCCCCAAAAGATTGTGGACAGGAAGTCAAATAGGACTTTTAAGCCTGTGATAGTGACATGTCTGTGACATGTCTATTTGGAAACATGGGGCAAAAGTAGTTGACTGGAGATTAGGTCCAGATCAACCCTGGTCTAATTAACTGTGGAACAAGTCCAAGGGTCTGAATGGTCTGCTTCTATTTCTATTCTTTCTGTGATTTAACTCTTTAAATTCCAGGCAATGGTGAAAGTGACTGCAAATTGGAAAGAAAAAGCACGCTGTCGCGACTCTTCTATGGACCTGTTGGCCACTTCAGTCGAAATGATATCTTTGCCACACCTACATCTCTGAGTACGACACTGGAAAAGATTGGTGTGTCTCTCAGCCACTGCAGCGCAGACCTGAAGCAACTGTTCACAAAATCTGGATTGCTGCTTTCTATCCCCCAGTCTGTGGACCTGGACATTGGTCAGTTTGACCTAGAAATGATTCTGGGTGAGTTTGTACAAGGGACATTTCTAACCAAAGATTTAGCACTCAATGCCCTTCAGTTTTCTGCATCCCCAAAATTCTTTGTCGAAAATTTGTTTGGAGGCAAATTTCTGAAGAACCTTGGTCTATTCAATTTCACTGGCAGTCTAGGAAACAGGGGGACATTTAATTTCAGTCAGTTCTTCCAGCAAATTGGCTTAAGAGGAATGTACAGTGGGGCAAACTTTGTGGAACTTGCCAAATTGTTTTCTCCGAACGAAGACTCCTACTTCTCCAAAGGAACGTCAGAATTCTCCAAGGACACCTTCAACTTGAACCAGACAATTGAGGACAACTTTGGGCGCTCAGTAAATTTACAAGAGAATCAGAATATTGTGAAGCTTATAACATTTCTGTTTGAGCATCGGAATGTTCTTACAACATTGCTTGAAGTCATTAACTTCTTTGGTGGAGAGGATGATAATTTAGCTGAAACTGTCCAGCTGGTGTTAAGGAGTGCTAAGGCTGGTATCTGTGACTGCCTGACTTCACATCTCTTTCTTCCCAAGTGTACTGGAGATGGAAGGTATGAAGAGGTCCAGTGTCTAGGCACAGTTTGCTGGTGTGTAGACAGTCAAGGAGTGGAGATTCCAAACACAAGAGTCTCAGGTCAAAGGCCACAATGTCCCACCAAGTGTGAGCAAGAACGTAGGCGCTTAACAGACTTGAGAGAACACCAACCAGCAGGATCTGATGTGTTTATTCCTTCATGTAGAAGTGACGGTAATTTTAAGTCCATGCAATGTGATGGGATGGACTGCATCTGTGTGGATCTGCAGGGTAGGAAGACGCCTGAACTAAGGAAACTAGCTGGAGGAGGCGTGCAGTGTAAGTTCTGACTTTTAATGTAATTAATATGTCAAACTTTTTTTTTGCAACAGATTACGTAGGATATGCAACACTGGAAAAGGCCATTCACCTTATCTAGCTCATGCTGGCATTTGCGCTTGGCTTAAGCCTTCTCCCATTTTTTGAGATCAAATTCAATTAGCATAATCTTCTATTCCCTTCTTCCTCTTATGCTTATCTAGCCTGTATTTAAATGCAATGATGGTATTTACATTAACACTCCCTGTGGTAAGCAATTCCACATTCTCATTGCCTTTTTGGTTAAGGAAGTTTTTTTTCTGAATTCTCTGTTTGATTTCTTGGTAACTATATTAAACTGATGCTCTCACATGTTCCTTAGAATTTGAACTTTGAGACACCTTCTCTATTGTGCCACCTTTTTAGCCTTGTGTTACAGCACAGCGAGGCAGAGTGAAACAATTCTCCTCATTTCATCCTCTCTGCTTAGCTGCAAAAGAAACTTAAGGTTTTTATAGATTGAGGATATATCTTCCTCCGATTAAAATATAACTAAATGGGGAAAAATAACTAAAAAGAATCTACAGGTTAAAATTCCTTAGGTGTCCTTGAGGCATAAGATTTGAATGTGAGACCACGGTTGCTTACTTGCTGTCTTGAGCAATGAGCAATCATAGAATTGTATAGCACAGAAACAGACCCTTCAGTCCAACTCATCCAAGCTGATCAGATATGCTAAATAAATTTAGTCCCATTTAGCAGCATTTGACCCATATCCCTCTAAACCCTTCTTATTCATATGCCTGTCCACTTGCCTTTTAAAATGTTGTAATTTACCAGCTTCCATCACTTCCTCTGGCAGCTCATTCCATGCATGCACCACACTCTGTGTGAAAGATGTTGCCCCTTGGGTCCCTTTTAAATCTTTCCCTTCTCACCTTACACCTGTGCCCTCTAGTTTTGTACTCCACTAACCTGGGGAAAAGACCTTGGCTATTTATCCTATCTATGCCCTTCATGATTTTATAAATTTCTATAAGGTGACACCTCAGCCTCCGATACTCCAGGAAAAATAGCCCCAGCCTAATCAGCCTCTCCCAGTAGCTCAAACTCTCCAACCCTGGCAACATCCTTGTAAATCTTTTCTGAACCCTTACAAGTTTCACAACATCCTTCCTATAGCAGGAAGACCAGAATTGCATGCAGTATTCCAAAAGTGGTCTAACCAAAGTCCTGTATAGCCACAACATGACCTCCCAGCTCCTATACTCAATGCACTGATTAATAAAGGCAAGCAAACCAAATGCCTTCTTCACTATCCTGTCTACCTGTGACTCTACTTTCAAGGAACTAAAAACCTGCACTCCAAGTTCTCTTTGTTCAGTAACACTCCCCAGGACCTTACCATTAAGTATATAAGTCCTGCCCTGATTTACCTTTCCAAAATGCAGCACCTCACATTTATCTAAATTAAACTCCATCTGCCACTCCTTGGGCCATTGGCTCATCTGATCAAGGTCCCATTGTAATATGAGGTAACTTTCTTGGCTGTCTGCTACACCTCTAATTTTGGTGTCATCTGCAAACTTACTAACCGTACCTCCCATGTTCACATCCAAATCATTTATGTAAATGACCAAAAGCAGTGGACCCAGCACTAATCCTATCTTCTAACTTTGAGCCAGTTCTGTATCCAAATGGCTAGTTCTCCCTGTATTCCATCTGATCTAACCTTGCTAACCAGTCTACAATGCTGAACCTTGTCAAATGTCTTGATGAAGTCCATAAAGATCATGTGCACTGCTCTGCCTTCATCAATCTTCTTCAATACTTCTTGAAAAAAACTCAGTTAAGTTAGTATGACACAATTTCCCACACACAAAGCCATGTTGACTATCCCTAATCTTTCCTAGCTTTTCTAAATACATGTAAATCTTGACCCTCAGGATCCCCTCCAACAACTTGCCCACCACTGATGTCAGGCTCACTGGTCTATAGTTCCCTGGCTTTTCCTTGCCACCTTTCTTAAATAGTGGCACCACATTTGCCAACCTCCAGTCTTCAGGTATCTCACCAAATATCTCAACAAGGGGCCAGCAATCATTTCCCTAGCTTCCCACAAAATTCTAGGGCATACCTGATCAGGTTCTGGGGATTTATCCACCTTTATGTGTTTTAAGACGTCCAGCTCCTCCTCTGTAATATCGACATTTTTCAAGATGTCGCTATCCATTTCCCCACATTCTCCAGCTTCCATATCCTTCTCCACAGTAAACACTGATGCAAAATACTCATTAAGAATTTATCTCTCCCATCTCCTGCGGTTCCCCACGTAGGCAGCATTGCTGATCTTTAAAGGGCCCTATTCTCTCCCTAGTTACCTTTTTGTCCATAATGTATTTGTAGAGTCCCTTTGGATTCTCCTTAATCCTATTTGCCAAAGCGATCTCATGTCCCCTCCCAGCTTCCCTCTTAAGTATACTTCTACTGTCTCCCAAACATTGCAGGCATCCTTTTTAAATTCTTACTGCCCTAATGCTTCTCTCCAATCAGTTCTGTCACTGGGCACTTTTCCTTTTTAAGAAGTTGAGTCAGCACTTTCTGTAGTCTCTCAGTTTCCCCTCGTGTTCTGTCTAAAGCAGTTCCTTGGAACACAAGCACCCGGTCTAAATTCATTGTTTCCAAGCTTGCTAACTGCAGCTTTGTTTTTCATCTCACAACATATTAAACTTAATGTACGGGTGCAAGTCAAAACAGGAATTGATGCTATTTTCACACATGACTAAATTGACTAGTTTCAGTATCTAGTGATAAAATATAATTTATAGTTCACACAGTTTTGTTTATTCTACGTTGTTTCATTAAAATTCGGCTAACCTGTGGTGACTGTGGTGACCATTTTAAGTCAGTGTTTAGTCACTTGTTAAACACTATTTCAGTCCATGGAAGTCCCTAGTATTAAATTGGCAATAGAATTCAAAAATCAATCATCCATATTTCATTATCACCATGACACTGGTCTTTTCAAAAGAGAAGAGATTTTGAGTCCATTCAATATCTGCTGAGAGCTATATCTCTGCATTTCTAGTATCATCATTGTAACTTCTTGTGGACTCTCTCCAATGTGGACCCTCTCCAACGCCTCTACATATTTTTATAATATGGCAACCAGAATTGTAAATGATACTCCAGGTCTAATCAAGTTTCGATGCAAGTTTGGCATAACTTCTTTGGTTTTCAGTTGTATCCCACGAGAAATAATCCCTACTTCATAGTTTTTTTTTATGAACTTTAAACCTGTATCATTACTTTCAGTGATTCATTTCCGGATAATTTAGATACTCAATTTAGATTCTTATTTTCCTAGTAAATGCAATCTCCTTAGTTTTCTTGCCAACATTTAAATTTAACTCATGTTGAAAGTCATTTGCCAAATATGTGCCATTCAGCAAGTATATTCTTAATTACTTGTAATTTATAGGTTCCTCCTCAGCATTGGCATCTCCCATCCACCCTCACTTTAGTGTTATCTGCAAATTAATTGTGCTTTTATTGAAACATCTAAATCCTTAATTTAAATTGAGTCACATAATCAACTGTAACATGAGAGAAATAACAGCTACTACATTTTATACATTCAAGAGTAATAAAGTTGTTTTCCAAAAATAGTTAGGATGAGGGATTTGATTTGCCTGATTCTCTCCTTGTTGGATTTTGAATTTCCTCACCTTTCTTTTCCCAGATATACATATAGAACCATTAGGAGTCAAAGGAGCCCTTTCAGCTATGCTGGTTATTTCAAAGGGCTATTCACTCCAGTAGAGTGGTACTTCTGCCAATGGTTAAAATAGTGAAGTATTTGCATTTTAAAGGGGAGCCCAGTTGAGCCTGTAGAGACGTTTGTGGATGACAAAAAGCCACAAAAGTTATCATTTGAAGAAGCATAACTGCAAAACTATAAATTCAAGAAATGATTCCTGTGATTCATTGCTTCCATGAAGAATAACAGCTGTAGGCAATGGAGACTGGAGATAGGACTACATCTTTCTAACCTTGATTCTGATTCATGCTCACTTCATGCATAGTCATTCACCATACACCTAATCTTCAATTTTCATGGACTATGAAGTCGATTTCTGTCAGTCTGGCAGTTCGTATTAGTAGGCTATGTTGATGATTGTTTCTTCACCAACGTTGATGATTCAAAAGTAATTTAGCATAGACTGTCGATTCTCAAGTAACTGTAAAGTCCAATGTCAAGTTGACCTTAGGACTGATCAACATTGTGTCCTTTCTAATGAGGTGATGCTTGATATATGGCTTAATCCTGGTAACATTCTGATAGAAAATAGGAACAGGACTAAGCCATTTGGTCCTTTGAGCCTGCTCCATTATTCAATATGATCATAGCTGATCATCCAGCTCAGCACCCTGTTCTTCTTTTTTCCCCATACCCTTTGATCCCTTTAGTCCTAAGAACTGTAACTAACTCCTCCTTGAAAACATTCAATGTCTTGGCCCTCAACTGTTTTTTGTGGCAGGGAAGATAAACAATTGGGTGCCTGTTGTTAAGTACTCAATAAGTTCCCGTTAGAGTAATTTTATTGAAGCACCCTCCCTAATTGGCCTCCTGCACATCCTCCCATCTAATTAAGGATGGCAGGTAGACCCAGGGATACAGAAGGTCCAGCAGAGGTTCTGCAGTAATCTCCAGATACCAGTCACACCAGAAGAAGTGAGTGATGCTGCAGAAGCAAGAGACCCAGAGTGTGCTTCAAAATGAAGGTACCCATGAAGGCCTCCTTCTTTGGTATATAAAAGATGATAATGCATTTTAAGGGACCCTCAGGGTTGATGGTTGATCCCTTCAAAGATGTGGAGGTGCCGGTGATGGACTGGGGTAGACAAGATCAAAAATTGCACAACATCAGGTTATAGTCCAACAGGTTTATTTGAAACACAAATTTTCAGAGCCTCACTCCTTCTTTAGGTATGAGTGAGAGGGGTGGCATTAGACACAGAATTTACAAGTAAAAGATCAAAGGGTCATAGAACTGATGCGAATGTATTGAACAAACCTAAGATGGCAGTTAAATCTTTAATCAGTTAGAAAGGAGATGCAGATTTTGATTGATTCATATGCAAATCCCAGAACTTCATTCAAGTCACTGCCACAAGATAACTAAAGATTTTATCAGTATACCAGAGGTGACATAACAGGTCAGACATAGCATTTTAGGTGTGAAGCCTTGTTTGGAATCTGTCTGTGTTTTAACTTGGAATCAGACTGGTTTTATTTCCAAAAGTAGGAATTTATAAATTGCCACATTGACTGACTGTCTAAAAATTGTGTGCTTTTTGAACAAAATAGAATGTATCTGCAAATTCACTCCATAGATTTATATGTGTGTGTGTTTTGTGTGTGTGTGTGTGTGTGAGAGAGAGAGAGAGAGGGTGTGTGTGTGTGTGTGTGTGAGAGAGAGAGAGAGAGGGTGTGTGTG